GGTGCAGTAGCAAATGATGATGATGGCATAGCAGTGGTTTTTATATTTTGATTATTCTTGCTCATTGCATTTGACGGTAGATTTGCAGATGTCTGCTCGATATTAGCAATTTTATCAACAATTAACATATTGCTTTCATTATCTGCTTCTTAAAAAAATGAAAAGATTCAAAGTAATTATAACATCTGCTATAAATTTTATGATAAGATAATCCGCTAACTGTAAGCTAAAATCCGATTAAATTGCATGAATCTCATTAAGTTGCTTGATTTACTTTCCAGATTTTCAAAAAACGGATTTCTAAAAAGGAAAAATAATTATTAATGTCTGGTTGTACCCTGTTTCATTTGATTAGCCTGTTCCAGTTTTGCACGGTTAGCTCTCTGTCGTCCACCCGTTTTTACTGATATTTTCTCATCCACTTCCTTCTTCAAATCACTATGAAGTGCTAATTTCACAGAAAACTTTAAATATCGTCGCCATAATGAAGGTCCGTTGATTGACGTTTCAATGCACGGCTTGCTGACAAGACATACATTTTCAAAACGATCTGAGAAAAAATGGTTGCTCAAAGTTGAAAACTGTAAAAATTTTCTGATTTAACAGATTACAAAAAGACGTTCTCTTCTTTATTAGCAACTTCTCATTAAATATAAACAAATGAGGAACTAATTGATAATGATATGAGCAATGTTTACAATAAACTTTTAAATTAACACTTACTTGTTCTTTCACTAAAGCTTCGTTTCACCACAACCGGTATCAAGTACGTGGAGGAATCACCGACCCACGGATTACATAATATTTTCAAAGCACTACTTGAGCACATTATTACGCGTACCCCATATTTGACGGCTAAATGCATCGCATATTCATCTGATTCAAGCGGATACTAAAAATAAAAATAAGCATTCAAAAATGTCAGCAGATATGGAACTAATTTCGTTTAAAGATAAATAGAGATTATGAGAATGAAATGTTCTTAATCATATCGACCAAATAAAAATCCTTAATAACAAAGCATTAAAAAAATTGCAAACTTTTGTTTTTTCCGTTGGTGGATATTGCGCCGATATATCCTCCACCAAACGATTAAACATAAAACGACGTCTTTCGTTTGGTAAAGTGATTTTCGGTACTTTACCACGATAAAGTACGGCTTTTTTTGTTAAAATCGTTAATGCATCAACTGTTAAATCTTTCATCTCTTCATCATAGATTGGTGCACCATATTGACAATGTAGTGATAACGCACGAGTTCTTAATCGATCCTGCATGCATAAACATATCAATATCTATCTATCAACAACTATTTTACTAAACCTGTTTTGTTGTACTTCTGAAATAACGCAACAAATGGGTCAGTAGATCGAGACTTAATATTTTGTATACCAAAAACATACTCAAGTACAGCATATTTCCTTAAAAATAACTGCTTAATAAGAATTGATTTATCTTGCAGTTTTATTCACACAAAATCTAAAGTTGCTTCTGTTTCCATAAACTACTCTGTAACTGAGCATCTTATATCAAATGTACATTATCATTATACCAAAATATAGGAGATAGCTCGTTGATTGGAGCAAGTATATACTGATTTTTTTCTAGAGTGGAGGCTATGTAAGATCAATTCTTGGTATTTCATACGTTCATCCTTCAACTTTTCATCCATAATCTGCAAGCATATAAAAATTTTTAAATATGAAATGAGAACTAAAAACGGAATAATAATTGTAAAGTAAAAGAATGAATAACTGAGTGTGAGAGTATATAAGTTGAATACCGACTCGCACTTCCTGTCGATTTTGTTGAAAGCGTGGCTGCGAATGATTAGCATTCAAAAAATTCGCTACAATAGCCACATAACGCTGATGATCAATCGATCTTTGGATGAGCGAACGATATTTTCTCAGTATTTTTGGAAATGGTGGTGCCCATGGCATATCTTCTCGGTCAATCTTAAAAAAGTAACTCAAATCTATGAGGATAATATAAATTTATTTAGTTGAAAGTATTGAATTTTAATTTCGATTATTTCTTTCTAAAACAATGCTGAAAAACAGATTCAGCTTCTAGTTCTGTTTTTTTTTTTGAGGAATACAAATTTAGATATCGTTAACCGTACTTGAACTTTGTCGTCCTCTGATTTGCTATGAGCCTTTTCGCGTTGCTTTTCAATATACTTTTGCAGCGCTTCCTCCCTGAAAATACAGTTTAATCTTTTTGCAACAAAATGTGCCACAAGTTTATAGACGCGAAGAAGCAAAGACAAACACACATAAATATACCCGACTCACTGATTTCAAATTTCTCAAGTTTATTTTCTAAGCGAATTATTCCGCCGTTTAAAAAAAGATGCAAAAGTTCAAACAATTATTGTGTTCATATACAAATATGTGTGTAAGCGAAATAAGGAATAAGTTACGTTGTTCGTAAATAAAATTCTATCAAAAATAGAAAAAGAAAATAAAAATATATTATTGAAGAAATTGTTCTTTCCTCACTTACTTCGAATAACCTTGCTTGGCCAATTTATGAAGTGCAATATTAGTTGGTACTTTCATCTCCCGTTTTTCCGATTTGCCAATTTTATGGCTTTTTCCCGGAACATCCAATGTTTCATCTTCTTTTCTCCGCTTTCTCAACTCGGTGCTTTCTAACCTTTCATCCTTCATGCGTGAATCACAAACAGTGGTAATTCTCTGCCTTCTTTGAATCAAATCTCTTGATGAGACCGATTCATTATTATCCGATTCATGAGTCTTTTGAAACTGATTCCCTTTGTTCGTTTGTTGTCCATGATCAAAAAAATGTACAAAAAAATTTATCTTGAATAATTTGTTGCATCAACTGCAGTTTGAGAGAGAAACCTCATTCTTTCTAACATTTTTGATTCAAATGAGAAATTACGTTAATTTCATATTTTAATATATTGTGAATGTGTATCAAAAACAGGAAGTTAGTGTTTGTTAATTCATTCTAAAAAAATGTATGTCATAGGAACCAGTAATTTTAGAAAAGCCCTATACAAATAGAGTAATTTTAGATAAAGACAAACCGAAATAAAATTAACCTCAACCTTACCTATTCAACATATTTTAATCATAATGAAAACAGAAATGATTAATAAGATTAGCAATACCGGTTATCGAATCATCTCATTTAGCTTATTTTATGATCTAACAATTTATCAATAAATAGGACAATAATAGAAACCTTCTTTATCATGAGGCTCTTCATTTTTCGATAGCAACATCCAATATGGTGGACTGTTGATGAACAGAATTTCCTCACCTTTCGTTTTCTCTAACATTTGTTCATCACGACAACGATCACAAAATAATGCATTATGAGAAATAATGGTATTTAGGTCAGCATTTGGATTCAAGAATGGACAACGTGAAGCGGCTTGCGAACCGCGCCATTCTTCTTCCATTACACTGAAAATGATAAATTAGATTCTATAAAAAAAGAATCAAATCAAATTTCAACAAAAATCAACGAAGCTAAAACACTTATCAGCAGGCTAGCTTGAACAAATTTAGGAAAAAAATACTTTATTAAAATTCCGTAAATCATCCAAATTTCTCAAATGCATGCATAATTATGAATTTACACACTTTCAGTAAGTGATACGAAAAGTACCTGAAGAAATATTTACTTAATTCCTCGGGAATACTTAATTTTGTACAAAATGATACTGTTAAAAGGCATCATTTCCATACTTACGTAACCAAATTACATTTGAAATGAAAAATACGAAATGATGAAGCAAAACGTCAATTAGCGTGTAAATACGTCAATCCAAACGTTTAGGTCGATCCCATGCCAGCGGAAGAAGGACGAGCTGTGAAATCGGCATTAAACGGATGATCTGATGATATGCTGTACAAATCGGAAATTAATGGATTTTTCGAGTTTTATATAGTAATTAGAAGTTTCCATAAATTCAGAATGTTAGTGAAAACTCGTGAAAATTTCAAAATTTTTACCTTGTAAACCCTAAAATTCGTAAATTTTGGATATATTTTTGTTTTACTGCATGAATAAATTGCAACTTTTTGTGACTTTCCGAAGGCATACACACAATTAGCCGTGCAGTAATTGTTAAGCTTAATTAGATTTCAATACCGATTAGCACTTGCTTTAAGCTTACATCTGAAAATATTTAAATTCTTTGCAAATTTTTTTCAACATTAAACTTTATATAACTCAAGCATATTGTGTCGAGAAAAATCAAAATCTTTTTGTTTGGTGAACAATTTTTGAAGTTAATTTTTGATCAAATCAAAATTGTTATTATTGTAAAAATTGTGCAACGTAATAAAAAATTTCTTTTCCATTTTTATCAGTTGTTAATTGAGATAGAATTGATGAACTCGTTTTCTTCCTTCCTTTCTTCTATTTTCTTTTTTCGAAATATCCGTAAGAATGCATGCGTGTTTAACGCTTGGAAGAATTTAATTAATACTTGTTTTTATGAATTATTGAAAAAATGTGTTTATGTTAGCAATGATCATTTTAAAAAAAGAAAAACAAATATGAGATATCAATGGTTTTGCAGGAAATAGTTAAAAATGAAGAGATGAGATAATCCTTGGAGAAAAATTATTTGATATAATTGAATGAGAAATATGGAAATCCATAATTTAATTTTACTTTTCGTTTATTTTACGGTTACCGGTTTCATGTAACATTTAAGCTATGATCATTATTGTCACCATCTGTCAACAAGAGAGAACCTAATCGGCGAAAAAAAAAGGAAAGAAAAAATGAAATAAACATGTTTTCATTGTTTGTATTAAACGGGTTTCAGTAAGTTACAATATAACTATCAGCCATTTATTATACTATCAACTCTGTTGTTCCATTCCCATCCATAAAAGAAGAAAAAAAAATGAAAAATTAAATTTTTATTTCAAAAGAAAGGGAAAAAAAGATTGTCTTAAACAGACAAAAGTTTTTTTGTTTAATTTTTGACAAAAACTTTTTTTTGTTTAATTTTTTGTTAATTTTCTGAATGAAAAACAGTTGATAGTGAATAATTTCAAAAAAATAAAACAAAAAATTTATGTGCTTCTTAACCGAAAGCCTAGAAATTGGTTTGTTGTTTATCGTAAAATTGAGCATTATATGGCATCCTGCATTAAATTAAACTAGAATTAAAATTTAAATTGCTAATTATTAAACTAATTGTTATTCATAAATTGATGTGTTATATACAGAGTATTTGAAATTTTTCAAAAATTAATTTGTACAATAAAAATTCTTTCATACTACAGCATTAGCACTACAATTAATTTGTATTGTAAATTCCTAATTTGTTTATTATCATGAATTTTATTTGCTACTATAAAAACAAGCACATTGTAAAATGTTAATTTATTATTTAAAATTTAATTCTGCATATGTGTGTGTGTTTTTTTTTTGTAATTAAAATTTATGCAGATATTAAGATATTTGCCATACTTGCCAAAATATTTTTAAAATATTATTGTTAACGATATCACACTGATATAGAGCAATTTAATCGTCGTTATTGCTTTTTTATTAATGTTCGTACACTATCATCATTTATCATTATTCTGATTAATTGTCTTATACCTTATTAAATCGTTGCTCTCAAGAACATCTATCGCAATCATTATTGCTAGTAATTTTATTGATCGCTATTGTTCAACAGTTAGCATGATTTTTTTTCTTTTTTTTTTTGTTTCATTATGGTTTTTAATTCTTTTGCTTTGAAAATTTTTAACATTGGTGATCTTCAAGTTTCATACTCAAGAACTGAAAAGGAAATCAATGATTACATCAAACAATTACTAATTGATTTCCTTTTTCGTATCATTTTTATCATTACCAAAATTCAATTATTTTTAATACCTCATTTCATTAAGTGATATTCTCATTTTTCCATGCTTTTCCTTCCCATTCATAATTTTCTTCAAAAAAAAAATATTTATTTATTCATTAAAACTTTTTCACGAAAAAAAAAAAAATAGATGCTATGGGCGAAATTGTTACAACAAATACATATATTTGCTTCATTTTTTTTTGCTCTCTTTTTAATTCTAATATTTATATCTTTTCAGATATAAACAAATAATAATGCTATTAAGTAAACTAACTTCAGTCCCCTTTTTAAGATATATTTTTAAAAATATAAATGACAAAAAAAAAGAAGAAAAATAAGTGCTATGCTATCAACAAGTTCCAGAATAAAGGAATGAAGAAAATGTAAAAGAATTTTGGGTAAAATAAAAGCAATGAAGATTACGAAAGTAAAAAAAAAGGAAAAAAGAAGAAAAAAGAAAAGTGATTAATTAATAGACAAATACTAAATTTCTTGTTTATTTTCTCTCTTTTCCTCTCTCCCTCTTTCTCCCTCCTCCTTTTTCTTCTCCCTTTCTCCTGCATCTTTGTTGTATATGCTAAAGAATGTGGCGAAAAATAACTTTTTTATAATTTTTAACTTGCGCTATTTTTGAAATTTTTTCATAATTTTCAACTTTCACCATTTTTGAAATTTTGAAAACGAAAACACATTAGTTTTAAAGTTTATGATTAATTTGACGAAAGGTTTTCCTTATGATAAAAAAAAAATTAAAATAAAGCATTCGTATAATATTTTTTTTCACCTCTATTCATAATTAATGTATTATTGGAATTTCATAGCATTTCAGTGCTTATGCTATTTATAATGATTACATCCTAAGGATTCCAATGCTTTTGTCATTCGTAATCATCATACTTCTGCTTTTGCTATTGATAATGATCATATTATCAAGATTTCATGAGAACGGATTTGGTGATTTGAAGTGAATGAAATTACGAAGGAAAATGCTGAATGCTGTAGTGAGAAGATGGAATGAGAATTTTTGAATGGAATTCGAATTTATGACTTTTCATTTTATGGAAGTAAATTAAAATACTTTCATATTCTAATCCTCATTTTCTTATCAATAATGTGTGACATCTTTTTAAACAGTTTACAATTGAAAAGTTTCTTTTCTCTTCTTTCCTTTTTTTCTTAACTTAAATTTAATCAAAATTGTATTTGTCCTTGCATCATTCCACTCAAATCGCGATATATCTTATTTGATTGATAAGAGAATCGATTCATTAAAATATATTTTCCAGAGTTTTCCTCATATTTTTGGCTGCAAAGAGTATTGTTGCACAATTGCTGATACGATTAAAATTACTTTCTTAATTTTTGATAAGATTTTCCATATTTAACTGGAAAATATTGATGAAATTAATTGAGAAAATGATAAAAATTTATATTTTAATGCAAATTTTTGAAACGTTTAAACGTTTAAAAGTTACATACGAAAAATGTCCTTGCAGGTTATTTTTTTCTAACAACCATAATGTGAATTATTGAAAGATTGAAAGTCTTTAAATAGCAATACATTCATTTGTTATACTAATTCATAGTTCTAAATTAATTAGAGTATTTGAAATAAGTGATTAAATTTTGTGAATTTTTTTTTTACAAGACAATTTCAATGTTTTAACTCTTCGTTTTTTTTCTAGACAAAATTTCAAGGTTTAGTTATTTTGTAATTTTGCGATGTTGTCGATTTTGATAGAGAAAAGTAGTATGAAATTTAAAATGTACGAATCATCTAAAACTTACTTTATATCGTTCACTTTTAATTGATTTTTAATCAAATGAATTATTTTGCATTGTCGTCACAAAAATATTGCTCGTTTTTTTGTATTAATCTGAAGGAAACGAAATAAGTCAAATATTTCTTTTTATTTTTGAAAAATTTGAAACAAATATTATCAATATAAACAAAAATTAATATTATTGATCAACCAACATTGTTTAATATTTGTTTATTTATTAGCCAAAACCTGTATTGAATGGCAACTGTCACATTTTTATCATCAGTAACAGTTTTTTAATTAGGAGAATTTTATTGAAACAAAAAAGAAAGTAAAATAACACGGCAATGATAATTTTATTTTCATTAGCGATTTCTAATTCAGCAAATTTTTGTTGAAGCAAAAAAAGAAGTAAAGAAAAAAAACTAAGCAAAGACATCGTTATTTTTCCAAATAATTTTTAAATTCATAAAATTTTATTGAACAAAAAAAGTAAAGAGGCAAAGCAAAGAAAAAGGAGCGACGAAACAAAAAAAAAAAAAGCTGACGCTAAATTCCAAATTCCAATGAAGTTTTTTAAATGAAAAAAAAAGTCAAATGAAAAATTAAAAAAAAAAGAAGGTGATTGCCTAAATAACACATTAAACTTTACATTCGTCACTAAATTTCGAAAAACGAAGTCTTAAATTGCACAAAAATTCGATTGAAAAAACAGAAACAAAATTAAAATGAAAATGATTTAGCAACTTGTCACACTGTAATATTTCCATTTTTTCATATCATAAATTTAATTTTTTTTTTCTAATTAGACATTATGCA